CATATCAGTCACCAACACACAAGTTCGTCACCAGTACAAACATATCAGTCACCAACACACAAGTTCGTCACCAGTACAAACATATCAGTCACCAACACACAAGTTCGTCACCAGTACAAACATATCAGTCACCAACACACAAGTTCGTCACCAGTACACGCATGTCCGTCACCAGTACACACATGTCCGTCACCAACATACAAGAGAAGCGTTTCACCAGAGTGCGTCACCATCCTCGTTCCAGCACATCTTTGCTAAGCCTTTGTCGCCAAAATCCTTCAGTTCGGTTTTTCGCAACACCAACAAACACAGCTCCCGTGACCCCGTTGCCAGGCGTACGGTCAATAGGTGAATACGTTCTTTTATTATTCAAATTCAAGTCACTTGATTCACAATGGTTCCTGAATATTTTTTTTTATCTCTTATCTGAAGATGTAAATACACAACTAACTGGTTTTCATAAGGACAACACCACCTTCTTCAACCCTTTGCCAAGCTTACGAGTTTTTTTTTTCTTCTCACATTTACGGTTTCGGATTTACAAATGATCGAATTATTTTTTTTCTTCTCTTATCTGAGAAATTTACGTCGAGTTGAGAATAATCGAAGGTAAAGACAATAATAACAAAAACACGGGCGTTAACATTAACAGTACAAAGAAATGAAATGACCGGATCAATAATCGTTTATGAATAAATAAATAAAGAAGACAAAAATTGCTAACATCAAAAAACTTACTGGCATGTAAAGTATGTTTTATCAGCGAGGATATCAACAACAACAACAAGCCCGCAGCAACAATTTCTCCCTCGTCGTCGTCACCCGGGGATCGAGGCAACACCCTGCCCACAAAAACCTGAAAAACGACCTGGCAGACCACAAAGGAAGGTTAACAAAAGAGGAAAGACGGAGACGGAGAATGTATACCAGAAAAACAGAAGAAAATCTAACAAAAGGCAATCAGGAAAAAGACAAGATCATTGAGTATTATTCTTGGCGGGAACACCAACAAAAAAAGCGTGAAAATAGCCATGCGAGTAACTGTTGACACGAAAAGTCTTACTAATACAAGAGACGAGGATAACAAAATAAATAAATAAAAGACTTCAAAACCTTTCAGATCGTTGTATTCTGTAAAGTTGTTCGATTCCTTGTTTAGTCTGAGCTTGTGTAAACCCATTGAGGATGTGAAGGAGAGTCGTGACTTGATAAATACTTTTAAGTGCTTCTCTTTCCTTACAACTCATGTTATGTTATTTAGATCCAAAGTTATATTTTGATGTCAGGTTTAACCGAATTACATACGACCGAGTCTACAATTTACACACAGGGAGTCTACACACACGACCGAGTCTACATCTACACACGATTTAGTCTTACGTACACATGACCGAGTATACACGTACACACGACCGAGTATAAACACACAAACACACACAAGCAAGCAAGCATTTATAGTGGCAAAAACTGGTGTCCCGTCACATACGCCACTTGTGCTCCAAAGAAACAAAATTAAACTCTGACGTAAAACTCGACGCTTCCTCCCCACGCAGGCTGAGGTTTGTGTATTTTCCACTACTTTAATAACGTCATAGTGGCCGCTTTCAAGACAAGTTAAAGTAAACACCTCATCCCCAGCTCAGTAACCCTTATAGAAATGAATGGATCGACGGATTCTGCATCATGGCCGAGTTATTTTTAAGGGTTTCGGTAAAGGGCTTCTGTTTATGACTTAATTCGTAGGTGAACGCAATATCTCGCAAAATCTGAATAATTACTGGTTCCTGCTTTAAATTACGTTATCATGCACCTAATGAAGTCTAATTAGCCAGTTTACATGGAGTTGGATGGAAAGTTTTATAACTTAAAACTAATATGTATAATTTCCAAACAATCAGACGAAAATCTTATACTGTATACGATTTTACTGAAAAGACGAAATCCAAACAATGTGAATATTAAAACACACATAAACTCATGATAGAAAACACTGTAGTTTCCTCCTTAAATAAAACACATTTCACTGAGCACTCGAGTACAATAACCTACAGTTTAAAAGAGTGAAAGCACCCCCTACAGCAGCAGCCACAAGCCAGCCCAAACTAAACAGGTTTTCCATTTCATAATAAGTAAAGGGCCAGTCAGTCTGCACTTCCCGCGTGATTTAGTGAGCAGGAAGGAAGACGGTGCTAGCAGACCTTCAAGAGATAAGTGATTTCCTTCTTGTTGCTTCCTTCCTCTATTTCACACACGACCTCTCCGCCTCACACACGACCTCTACGCCTCACACACGACCTCTACGCCTCGCACACGACCTCTACGCCTCGCACACGACCTTTCTGCCTAACACACGACCTCTACGCCTCACACACGACCTTTCCGCCTAACACACGACCTCTACGCCTCACACACGACCTCTACGCCCCACACACGACCTCTACGCCTCAAACACGACCTCTATGCCTTACACACGACCTACACATGACATTCATCGCGTCGACCAGCCATGTATGTACCTGTATGTGTGTGTGTGTGTTCGTACGCTAACAAACCAACTCAATGGCATGACCGATTTCAAATTGAACTTGTCACAGGTGATTGGAGGTGTGTCGACCGTGACGCCAAGAGAACACCTGCTTATTATCATGTTATTACAGGAGGTTAAGGTCAGGTATATGTCGAGTGCATAGCGTGGTGTATGACATAGATACGTATTTTACCCCCAAAAGTGTACCTATGTATTCCTGTGTATGAATGTCTTCGTTACCACTATCAGATGGCAGTTGATGATATAGTGTATTACGTATAACTAAGGTAATATAGACATGTATGGCGTCATCTGAAAAACAACGACTGGAGTCACTTTCACTCCTAGTAGTGGCCCCAGCAGCAGGTATCATTATCCACAATGACAAAATTGGATGTAGATACTCATCACTAAGGGTCTTTGATGAGATAATAGTACTGAGAGGTTAACACGCATACCTTCAATAATATATCTCAGTGTGATGGTGTGTGTGTGTGTGTTCATGAAGAGGTCGAGTCAAGGGGAAAAAAAAGCGAACGTCTTAATTGTCTTAATCGCCAGGGTGATATTGTCTTGTGTTCTCTGTAACCTCCTCCCACCCTTACACACAAAGCCCATTCATATCTGTTTCTATCTCTTTTTCATTGGCTTACTATCACTCTCTCTCTATCCCCAGCCTACCCCCTCTCCTCACCTCCGACCATCACCAGCACGACCTACGCGAGGATGTCTCAGACTGGCGCAACACGTTTGAGAAGGTCGGCTGACGGGGGGAGGGAAGTGGCTCTGGCCTCTCCTAGGTGGCCAGTGAGCACCTTGACTAACGAATTTTGATTGGTTCCGGACAGGTGTGTGGCGTATGGTATACGTGAAGGGTAAGACAGGTGACAGGTGTGTGTGATAGACGTATGGCAGGTGTGTAGGTGGTGTGAGGTGTAGAGCAGGTATGAGGTGTATGGCAGATTGGCAGGTATGAGGTGCATGGCAGGTGTTAGGTGTATGGCAGGTGTTAGGTGTTTGAACTGTGTACGAGTGAGGTGGCGTGTGACTGAAAAGTATGTAGGTTCAGCCTTGAGTGACTGACGGAAAGACAAGACATACAGACACACGGATGCACACACACGGATACACACACACACACACACACACACACACACACGGGCGCATATCATTTCTATTTATAGAAATTCGGCCTCTGTACATTTAAGAGCGTAAGGAATCTTTCTTTTAAAACACTTAAAAGTTTACAAAGAAAATTGTTTATATCACTATCAGGTATTTTGGCCGACATCAACAGGTTGTCACACTTCATAAACACCCGCACACACACTCACACACACACACACACACACACACACACACACTCACCTGGACAAATGTTGTAAATAAAGGCGAAAATCCGGACATTAATTAACCTATTTACACATCTCGAGTGGCACAAGATCAGTAAACATTGGAATCACACTTACGGGCCTGTGTGTGTGTGTGTGTGTGTGTGTGTGTGTGTGTGTGTGTGTGTCATAACATCGATACAGGGTTTACACACGTCCAACAAGAGCAATAACAACACAAAAGTAAATAGTCAACCACACCAAGTTTAGATGACGTCACACTAATTGAGGTCTTAATATAGGGATTCCCAATTACTGGCGTGACGAGGAGGAAGGAAGGAAGGGTGGGAGAGTGGAAACTACGATGTGAGTGACGATGAGTGAACTAGTGAGTGAGTGACAGTGAGTAACAAAAGCGTTTAGAGGGATGGAGAGTAAATGGGTGAAGGAATTAACATGTACGTCAACAAAAATCACGACCAGAATGTCAATTACTGAACTATTGAAATGTCACCAAGTAATTATGCCTTTTCAAGAGGATAATAAGAACTAGAACAGCACCATTTTGTGTTTTAACGTGAGGAAATGTTGAATGGTGCCTGGAAATACACGCTTAATATATATATATAAAAAAAAAATCGGCGGCGGGTCAGTCTTCAATAATTACCCACTAAAATATACCGGTACTTACCCTTGTCTAGTCTAACCAAAACACTTGACTACATTCACGACTCATGCAAACTTTTCCAATATGTACAAAACACTTAATTATCTGAAAATGGTAAAGGTGTAGAAAAGGGCGACACAAAAATGGAAACGCCAATGCATAGAACCTGACCTAACATACCCAGGTTGGGTATGTTAGGTCAGGTTCTATTAGGTTCTATGCATTGTCGTTTCCATTTTTGTGTTTAATATCATGATATTAGTGTGTTGAAAATATTGCAACCAATTCGGACAATTCCTTCTGGTAGTCACCCTCTTCTACACCTTTACCGGTTGATTATATCTTCAGGTGAAATAAGTCAGGTGCGAATCTACAGGTGATACAATTCAAGGTTATAGTAATACAGGATGAAATATAATGCGATTTAAAAGTAAATGAAATATGAGTTGCAAAATGTTCCTGATTTCAAACTTACCCGACGTTCTCGAGACTCCCGTTCGAATCTCCGATACTTGTAGTTGAGGAAGGAGTTGCCAGCGACCATTGTAGTGATTAGGATAGCCCCCAACAGGAAGGTCATCAGGTTACCCACGCTCACTACAGACGAGTAGATGAGTTGTGGTATCCCAGCGAATAGAAGAATGACCCCAACTGAGCCAACAACAGAGAGGACACACTGAGCTGAGGAGTACACAGTGGTGATGTTGACAGACGTGCGTGACATGGTGGTGTTGTGGCCACGAACGCTACTGGAAGACTGAGTGAGGTATAGGCTTCAAGGTGTCGAGTTTCCGGTTCTGTTTTGTTTTTTGTTGTTGTCACTCCTCTACTTCTTCTTTCTTGTTTACTTCTTGGGTTGATTTTCTTTAAGGGTAACTTATTTATTCCTTTCTAAGGGGCGTTAAACAGTTATATATATTTTTTTATTTCAATGCTTGTTTCCCAGTTGATATCCGTCACTTGTAAAGAGGAATTTCAATCAGATTTAGCTTAGGGTTAAGTACACTTTTTCACAGTGGCTACTACAGTACACTATTTGCTACATAGTTAGCCACGGGTTCAGAGGTACCGGTGTATCGAAGAGACTCGGCAAGCAGCCACACCAGAGTCGACCAACTGTAGACTCTCACAGTTTTTAGAGGGCCTGCGGCTTCGACACTTCCGGTTCCTTGACTTCCTAAAACCTGCAATAAAAACAAGACAATGTATTTAATGTCTTAGTAAAGAGGTAAACACAATCACTGTATTAAGAAAAGTGCCAACATAAACTAATACAACGTCTCCATCCAATCAGTGCCACATGACCTGCTCACGGCTATAATGGAGCAATTTTCCCTTTGCATATCTGGTGACCTTTGACCCTTGTAAAATGGTAAAAAAAAATTTGTTGTTTATATGTCTATTTAGGGGCTGTACCAAACTTGGTGTTGACAGATGGGGTAAAAATAAAACCCCTTCCCCCACACTAAAGAACACGCTAAGAAAATTCTCACCCACAATCACAATAAAGGTGGTAATGATAAAACTAATTAAAACATCCAGAAGTCTCCTTAAGTGATCAAAAGAGGTGAGTTAATGATTATCCATCCTTAACACACAGGTAATCAAGAATACAACAGGTAAGTTAATGATGTTCCATCTTAAACCGCAGGTAAACAAACTCCTTGATCAAAACAAGTGTGGTTATGGCAGTCTTCCTTTAATATATACGGTCGAGAACCTCCTTCTCCTCCTCCTCCTTGATCAAAACAAGTGTGAGTGATTATTAAACCACATTAATAAGATAAAAAATACTGCTCTTGACAACAACAGGTTTCTAATGACGTTCACTCTTTATATACATAGCCTGGGGGACAAAACAGCACCATATATTAAGCTAATAAGCTAATAACATAAGGTGAACGTATGGACTAACACGCCTGAGCGAGTGTACACCATGCCTCCTACAGTGGGGGGTGGGGGGGCTTTGAGAGACAGCTGGGGAAACAGTGGCCAGACCGAGATATCCTGGGCTATTGAGGAGGGAGCCGCAAACGTATCCCTTTTGTGTCTTAATAAAACCGGAGAAAGATCTGCACACACACACACACACACACACACACAGCACAAGTTATCGTAAGTGAGGAAAACTATTTAAGTTCTGAGAATGATGATGTCTACTAAAGCGGTGATGTCAGTCAAGAACTTTATGGAATCCGACAGTAGGAGGAGAGAGAGAGAGAGAGAGAGAGAGAGAGAGAGAGAGAGAGAGAGAGAGAGAGGTGTATCATGTGTCGCGGTGAGGAGCTGCACAGTACAGTTATCGCTGCCTCCACCACCATCTGCCGGGGTGACCTTCCACTTCCCTCTCATCCTCGACGGGTGATCTTTACCAGTCACGTCTACACTGACTACTACTACCCCATCCTCTAGGCCTTCCTGCTTCCTTAAAACACCCCTTTCCTTTTTTCATAGCTGCCTTAAAATGACTTCCTTTTTTACATATTCAAATAACTTTTCCTGTTTAATTTTCCCTTTTATTTTTTCTATATCTACTACCTGAAAATAACATCTGAGTTGAGGTGTTTTTCCTTTCCCTTTCTAAATTACCTTACAATGACCATTTTCCACCATAATTTGCCTTAAAGTAGTATTTCTTCTGTAAATTTAAAAAAAAAGGACTTCTAACCCTTCTAAAAGGTCATCAAAGTGTCATTTTTTCCCTCTATGATTCGGCTTCACTCTTACTTTCGTTTTCAGCCTGTTCTACCCCAAGGTTATATTTTACTTCCCTTAGCGTTTGGTCATCCTATCGTCGCCTCTGTTAGTTGAAGGTAGAGATAAGTTCATACGTCGCTTTCTGTGAGTGAAGGGTGGTGAAGGAAAAACACCTATATTTCTATCATACGCCACTTAACGTCCATATAGATAACAAGATAACCCCAAGCATTGTCCTTTTTGGTATCCCGGCACATGTCATCAACCCCAGATTACGATAACTCTTGTCACTTACAACCTTGAACTGATGCACGTAATTAACCCAGGTGTTGGCTGTATGATAACACCTTTATCGTTGTTTGTCGTACGCCGCTGCACGGCCATTGACCTAAGTTAAAAAATCCGAGAAACTGCTAACCCACCTGACGTTCGACGCTGCACTGCACACCCTCGGGGCATCACCAACGTCTTAATGAAACACTAGACAGGAAATACCAAAGCAGAAGAAGTTTATGTGGGGGAGATGATGAGGGAGGAAGATAAAGGGGGAATGAGGGAGAAAATGCTGTGAGAAAATGAGGATAATATGAGGAGGGGGAGGAAGGTGATAGTGGTGGTGTGGGGGAAGTGTAAAATAACCTATGGCGGGAATTAAACAAGAAGAGATCCACCCATAAGACTTAGACAGGAAGGAAGGGCGGGGTGGGCGGGCGGGGCGGGCGGGCGGGCGGGAGAGTGTCAGTTGACTAGCCTTTGTGATGGTCGGAGAAGTTATGTTAATTGTCAGGATGTGAAGGTGAAACTAATTACGGTCTATGTATATATAATAAGCCTTTACCTGTGTATAAGGTAACTCTATACATGCTGTCCATTGACCCTATGTTGGATTCACTGTTACCTGATGTGGAACTTATGTAGAATATACTAATGTAACTATACAAATACACTGTACTCGTTACTTCAAAGGTGTATGATTGCATTATTACCTACTGTACTGTATCACCATAACCATCACTGTATCACCATCTCACCATCACTGCATCACTGTCTCACCACTGTATCACTGCCATCACCATCTCACCATCACTGTATCACTATCTCACCATCACTGTATCACTATCTCACCATCACTGTATCACATCTCACCATCACTGTATCACCATCTCACCATCACTGTATCACTATCTCACCATGTATCACTATCTCACCATCACTGTATCACTATCTCACCATCACTGTATCACTATCTCACCATCACTGTATCACCATCTCACCATCACTGTATCACTATCTCACCATCACTGTATCACTACCTCACCATCACTTCAGCTACTCGACCTTCAAGACTTAACACACCTGTAAGTTATAATTAATCATACCTGTCCTCACCATCATGCTGCAAGACACCTAACCTAACCTCAAGACCTGACCTAACCTAACCTCTAGACCTATCGGAAGACTTAGTAACTACAGATTCCAAGTACCACGGGGACAAAAAATAGCACGATAGGTAATGTAAAGAATTTGAGAACACCAGTTTTATAACACACGTAACACCTGTAACTGTCTAAATTACACGTAACACCTGCAACTATCTACACACCTGTCTATAATACACGTAACACCACCTGTCTAAAATATACGTAACACCGGACAAAAGCAAATGTTAAAGACATTCCTCCCTAAAGCCAGACATTTTACCATTGGACAGAACCCAGCCTCAGTATGACCACCAGTAAGACGACAAAAGCTCACCAACTCTGTTAAGCCAGATTATAATGGGTGGCTTTCTTATCTAGTGGCTTTTTTTATGTAGGGTGAACATCTTAAGGTGTTCTTTTATGTAGGGTGAACATTTTAGTGGTTTTTTCGTATCTAGAGTGAACATTTTAGAGCTGTTCTTTTATGTAGGGTGAACATTTGAAGGTGTTCTTTTATGTAGGGTGAACATTTGAAGGTGTTCTTTTATGTAGGGTGAACATTTTAGGGTGTTTATATCGCCGACACCCTAATTTGGATTCAGGAATAGAACAGACACCAAACACATGACGTCACGCGGTCACAGACGCATAACACGCCTCTTCCATTGGTCGTCATTTCCGCTGTTGGCTCCTGAGGTCATTGGTTGGTCAGTCAGTCCTCCTGTGACGTAATCATGACTCCTCCTCCTCCTATTCTTCTTCTTCTTCTTCTTCTAGCTCTTCTTCTTGTTTCTTCTTCTTCTAGTTCTTCTTCTTCTACTTCTTCTTCTAGTTCTTCTTCTTCTACCTCCTCCTCCTCCCCTTAGTCCCTACCAGACTCTTGTCAAGGACCCAGCCGTCACCACCTGGTATGGCGTGACGGGAGGTAACTCAAGAACACCAGGCGATCCTTCTCCACACACTTACTCTTACGTCACTCTGCTGCCCCCCCCTATCCCCATCCCCGCCTCCTTCCCTTGCATTAGTCAGCTCTATGAATACCTTTCCTGCAAACCGATTAAGATATTTTTGTTTTGTACAATGATCCCCCTTAGTTGGATTACGTCAGTGGTTCTTTACTAACACCCTTCACTCCCTCCCTTCCTTCATTGCCTTCCTTCCCTCCTTCCTTCATTCATTCCCTTCGTTCCCTCCTTCCTTCCTTCCCTCCCTCCCTCCTGGGCACAGCCATGTATTCGTCACTGAAGCAACTTTCTCATCTGTGATTCTGAACTTTAGTCTCAGTAATTTTGGCGTAAGTTTAAGCCCCGGATTCTCAAATTTTCGAAAGTTGTAGTTTGGTTTGGTTAGGTTAGGTTAGGTTTGGTTTGGTTAGGTTAGGTTTGGTTTGGTTTGGTTAGGTTAGGTTAGGTTAGGTTAGGTTAGGGGCATAATGGAGGTAACGGGAGGAATTTAAGGAGTTTTCAGGTATAGCGGTCATGTTTTTCCCACCTGCTAATGATCAACAAAACCAGGCTTATTTCCCTCTCACACTCTAACAACAAGAGCCAACGCCCCTCCCTCAGCTGCAATAAAATGTGGTGAACTCCTGTTGCAACCAAACTTATATATAATACTAAGAGTTGCAACATTGAGGTCACGGAGTCAGAGATAGCCGGAAGGAAGGACAATATTGTGTAATAATAATAATAATAATAATAATAATAATAATAATAATAACTTTCTTCTGCTGTTCCATTTCTACTGCTAAAATTTACTTGTCATCGTCAGCGAAAAATTAATTCGTTCTTTCCCGAAATCCTAAATTTCTTTCTCTTATAGTCTTTCACAAAAAAAGTTCTGGATTTGTCAAAATATACTCGCATATAATTTGGCATCACAGATTCTCATATGAGTACACAGACAGACCCTCGCTTGACTAATAACCACAGACCCTAGCTTGAGTATATGACCACAGACACTCACTTGACTAGACAGTTTCACGAACACAACAAAACAAGCCCTCCGGATCCACCTTATGTCGTAACGTAAACAAAAACACTTTCTATCTGTCCGCCTTAGTCATT